GACAGCTACTGCAGAGTACACAAGACAGCTACTGCAGAGTACACAGACAGCTACTGCAGAGTACACAAACAGCTACTGCAGAGTACACAGACAGCTACTGCAGAGTACACAGACAGCTATTGCAGAGTACACAGACAGCTACTGCAGAGTACACAAACAGCTACTGCAGAGTACACAAACAGCTATTGCAGAGTACACAAACAACTACTGCAGAGTACACAAACAGCTATTGCAGAGTACACAAACAGCTACTGCAGAGTACACAAACAGCTACTGCAGAGTACAAAAGATAGCTACTGCAGAGTACACGGACAGCTACTGCAGAGTACACGGACAGCTACTGCAGAGTACACGGACTACTGATTGGATAAATGATCAGAACTGGTTCCTGATTAGATTAATCAGACCTACAGAGTCCTGAGTGAAACATTGAGAACACAATGCTGTTATTGTTAGATACTGCTCAGCTTCTGTGAACAGCAAGCGGCCATCAGGGCACTATGATCAATTGTTAGGCTGATGGTCCTCCTTTATCATGTCAACAACTAGTTCTGGATGTCAACAACAAACTGGTTGATCCACTATGAGAAGGTGCTATTTATAAGACTGAGTTTGTTGCAGCTCCTCGGACTGAAGAAGTCTTTTGGATAAAAGATGAAACGTTTCAACAAGAATTGTACAGAGGACCTGACTCAACCTTGCTGGATATTTCTACCTGAATTATTGAGCATGAATCAGGATATTAAGAACTGCAGTATTTCCCCTCACATTATACAAGCAGGGCGCCCCGCCCTGTCAGCAGATCCGAACGCCCTCCCTACCCCGTCCCCCAAACTACTGGCACGTACGTAACAATAAGCTAGCGGCGCGCATTACAGACACAGTAGCTAAAAAGCTACAGAGGTAGCGCTCCATTTCCCTCGTGCTGACCCCCCCTGACAAAAGTCACAGAAGATATGAGCGCCCTGCCAAGGCCAGTAAACTAGGGGAAACACTGAAGTGATACTTTAAGTAATTAATTTTATCAGGAGAACCAGATCCAGTTTCTGTGTTACTGGGTTTAGTTTACCAGGTCGTTCCCAGGAATCTTCCAGAAGGATGCCAGGAAACCCGAGACACGCGATCACTGTGACCCTCGATGTCTGCCACCGGCTCATCGCTATGGTAAACATAAATAAACATAAATAAACGTCATCAGTGACTGGTTCAATGTGTAACCCCCCCACTGCTCCCCCCCC